AAATCCTACGCAGATTTCCTGTCTTGTTACAGCCCAAATAAACATTTGTCCTCTAAGGAGATTAATAGTTTTCTCAAGTTATTACTAAAGTCTCCAATGGAATTTACATTAACATTTAAGCGGCTTTTAACGTATTCCTTTGTTGGTGGAGATCAGAACTTCATCACTGCCCAGCACTTGGCTGGTCTCTGAGAAGGGCCATTTTAGTTAGTTTTAAGTGTTTCTGTGTAACACTCACTAGTTTCAGTTTGTTTTCACATAACAACTTGGATCTGGCTGGATGGAGCTCAACAAACTGCAGTACACATATTAGATTCTTTTGATTTTTAGGTTATATCAATCAATCATATGACATTCCGAGTTTTTCAGAGTGATGAAAATGAGGATTGTGGCATTTTAGGTTGTGGTGCAGTGTAGTGTTTTTAGCGGTTACCAAAGTTTTTGGATCACCTAAATTTTCAAGGCAGAAGTAACCATCACATGATTCTGATAAATGACTCGCTGGTCTATCTGCACTGCTGTTGTGTGATACAACATACTGACTTCTTGGCAGAAGCATTATTACCGAGTGATATGTATCTGATTAAAACTCAGGATGAACGAGCTGCTCTGACAGTTTATATGATTTTACTGTCTATTTGGGCAAATGCCAGGGCAGGTCCTACAAAACAGGCAATGAAATCTACCTCCCAAATCATCATTTATAAATGTCCTACCACATCAAATTCAATACTGTGCATCTTATACAGCTAATGCAGTAATGTAAAACAATAAACCATATTGACACACTTTCTTATTACAACTTTTTGATCTGTGTAAAATACATTACACAGATCAAAGTGGTCTCTAGGTTTTAGTGACACTGGGTAGTGATAACTGTGAATGATGAGTTGGGAAACAAGAAGATGTGACCTACTTTAAGACATTGCCACAGCATTTCTTCGAGAATGAAAGAAAACCACGAGGAATCTTCGTGCACTGCCTTGTTCTCAGAATGAAGTTCCAAATGTTAAAACAGGAACTATCACTGATAACTCACAAACTTTGAAACTACATCCAATCATAGGCTATCTCAATCTCCAAAGTAGCAGCTATCCATAAGGTCTTACCACAAAAATTCTACACGTATTTCTCATTTCTTACATATGATCTAGGATTCCAGCACATTATAATCTTAACTCAGGTGCTTTTCATTTCAAATTCCTTCATTAATTAACTTTCTCTGTAACTCACTTGATGCAACCTTGAATTTTGGTATTTCAATGGTATAATTCCATTATTTCACATTTTAAAATTATGTGAATTTCCTATTAATTCACTAAATTTTGCTTCCAAAGGTCTGTTTCTCCAAAACTTTGTTAAATGTGACTTCTGGAACTAAGATGCACTCTATTTTTTTTAGGAGTTTGTTTCCAATTTGTGTTCCTCTGTCAGGGTTTAAAAATCATGCAAAATAACGAAGATACTGAAGGTGAATTTGGTTCTTTGCCTACCATGGACCTATTTTGGGGACCTTTTACGTATGAAATACAACCTGGGAAGACTAAGAACTTCCAAATGGGGAATTTTCTACTTGCATTTGTTTTTCAGTGGTGAACAGCACTGTGGACCTCATCGTAGGAAACCTAGCTGACTGGCAACGGTACCGCAACTCAAGACTGCTACCCGTCTACAATTCGCTTCAGCATTTGGATACTGGAGAGCAGTTCTTCGTGTTTACAGAGTGGGAAGCATGGGGACCATGTGTGGCTTGCAATAGGATCCAGGGAGAGCGCAGACGACTGGGCAGGTGTCGGCTCAAGCCAAACAGGGAGATGGTATAACTAGAATACAATTTTACAAATCTTATTTGCAGTTTCCTCATGGCATGATACCAGAGGTTCTTTCCTTTGGAATGAAGTCAATTAATGATTCACCTCCATTAATTCCTAGAGTATGTAAAGCTTTACCTCCAGATGTCATATACGACTTCATGATACGGTGTTTAGGCACAAGGGAATATTTTCTATCATAATGTCAATATCTGAGGTACTGAATGCTGCTTATTTTCCATCTTGAAATACAATTCGAACATTTTCAAACTTCTACATACTTCTGACATCTTCCAAGTACGTGTGATGATAGGTAATCCAGCACAATGGTACCTATTAGTACAACAGTTTATAACTAACTATATGGCTTACCGAACCCAAAGGTTCATCACCGAACCAACCAAAGCCCTCCACCGGACCCTGTCCTGGACCAACAAAATCCAGTCTCCTTCAACTCCTATCTCCCATGGATCCCGCCTGAGATTATCCTCCCATCTACGTCTAGGTCTCCCCAGAGGTCTCTTCCCCTCAGGCTTCCCAAATAGTGGACCCAACCAACCAGATGGCTTACGGAACCCGAAGGTTCATCACCGAATTAACAAAAGCCCCCCCCCGGCCCCTGTCCTGGGTCAACAAAATCCAGTCTCCTTCAACTCCTATCTCCCATAGATCCCGCCTGAGATTATCCTCCCATCTACGTCTAGGTCTCCCCAGAGGTCTCTTCCCCTCAGGATTCCCAACCAATACCCGGTGCACACCTCTTGTCCCATCCATGCGCGCTACATGCCCAGCCCATCTCATTCTTCTCGACTTAATCACCCAGAAGACCAAA